GCCACACCCCTGGTTCATTGAATTTTTTTTCCAGAGTCCACCACACCCGTCCACCACACCTGTGGTTCGCTGGGTTAAAAAGAAAAAAAAAACGGAAAAATCGCACAAAAAACCCCACCCCTCTTCTTCGACCTAACCAACCCACATCACCGCCGCCCCAATACTCCGTCGCCTCTCCGACCGCATCTCCGACCGGATCGCCGATCACCGACCGTCCGTTTCTTCATCTCCCCGACTTCGACTACGCCGTCATCTTCGAACCGCCGCCCTGCCTCCCTCTTCGACCACCAGCGACCCGCCCTCATCCTTCACCATCTCCGACCAAATCATCACCGCAGCAACCACCGACTCTGAGCTTCGTCAGCACCACCATCGCCGGCCATCTCCTTGACATAAGTGTCATATCATACTCTCAATATATGTGGTGTCATATTCTTCATAAGTGTCATGTCATAACTTATGTGAAACATCGCATGCATGGTTAATAAAGATGTCCAGTACATGAATTAGATATAGAGATTTCCCAACACGTGAGATAAATGGATAATTGCCTAACACGAGGACTGAAATGGATTATAGTCCAACACGAGGACTTCTATGGATTATAGTCCAACACGAGGACTGTGCAACTGAGCAAGTATTAGTGATATACAAGGCATGGTTTACTTATGCAAAACTCACACTCAACTCGTCGTGTGATTCTAGGCAAGTATTTCAGGCCATCTATCATGCATAGATGCTTAGTACAACTGAAGATCAAAGTCAGATGATTGAAGTAAGCACTCGAACGAGTGTACGATACAGCAGAAACAAATAAAACAGAAAACTGTGCGGCGGTCGACCGCAGAGTCCACTCCGGTCGATCGCTCGCAGACCCGAGAACCACTGGGCTCAGAAGCTGAGCGGCGGTCGACCGCAGAGGTCATCCCGGTCGACCGCCCAAAGGGCAGAAACAATTCTGCTGGCAGAAAAACGCGACGGTCGACCGCTGAGTCCTCTGCGGTCGACCGCTGGGCGGACAGAACCCCATTCTGGGTTCTGTCAGCTACCGAACTCAATTAAAAACTGGAGGATTTCTATACCCGTTATACTATAATCTTTTAATAGAGAACCATGGCAATAAACAACAAGTTTAAATGGTTAAAACCTCATTTATCAAAAATCCCAAACCTTAGACAACATGATTTTAAAAGTTCTTAAACAGTAAAAATTAGATTTAATCCTCATAAAAACGTTTCAGATCAGGATCTCATTAATTGAACATCATTAGTGAACTTTTTAACACTGAAAAATATGATTTTTGCACCTCAAGCCATAAGATCTACTTTATCTACACAACATACGATTTGGGCTCAATAAAAACAGGATGAAAACTCAAATCTAAGCATAAAAACGAAAAGGGATGAAGTTGGGCGAGATGTTACTCGCCTACGACCGAAACGAAGCCCTAGATCTGGAGGAAGATGATCCCTCTCGCTGAATCCACCAAAAATCCGCTGAAAAACCCTCCAAAGCTCCTCCAAATCACCAAAGAGTGAGAAACTAGGGTTTTAGGGGAGAGAGGGGGCTAGGGTTCTGATTTCAGATCAAAAGAGCTCTCTCCCGGGTTCATTAGATTATATACTAACCCCTAGACCCGACCCGAAACCCGCTAAGACCCGAAACCCAGAAAAACTCTCTGTCTGCTGGGCGGTCGACCGCCACGCCTAGTGCGGTCGACCGCACAGCAGGAAAGAAATTTCCTGAGTGCGAGACCGATCAGCGGTCGACCGGCATGACTCCTGCGGTCGACCGCTCAGAACAAGAAATCGACAACAGAGATGATTATGAACCTGATGCTCACACCAATCAAAACCTCTCCCATATGCACACTAATATAGTTCTCAAAACACTGATATACACCTTCTATATATGTATGCATAAATACATATTTGATTAATCACCGATCAACGTCCACTCCTCACACTCGGTTTTCTAGTTCACCGAAAACTTCACAACAACACACTCGGTTTTCTAGCTCACCGAAAACCTTACAACATTCTCAATGTAGCAATAAATGGTTTGTTCTCTCATACAAGGCGAGAACTCAATTAAGCATAACTCAATGTTACAATCTCTCACAACCCTAATATACTATATATGTAAATACAAAAAGCTTAATGTAGGTGTGTGTAACAAAGAGGTAAATCAAATCTAAACTCAATACAAAACTAGCTTTAATAAAATGATAATCAAATAAATATGCAAATGTAATGCTAGATAAGAGTTTAGAAATGCTTCTCTGAAAAACAAGATGGAGAGATGGATTAAGATGAAGCTCAATCAATGTAGATGATCTCCTTCACTAGTGTAAAACTTCTTCCCAAACAAAAACTCTTTTAAACAAACACTAAACAAACTTAAATCCTTGTTTAAAACTTGTTTAAAAACTTCTTGGATGATTTTTGAAAACTGAAGTATAAGGGGGTATTTATATGAAACCCCAAAACCAAAAAAAACCAAGAAAAGACCAAAAAACCAACTCAGCAACGGCTCTGGAAACTAGCCATTAGAACTGATATGACAGTGCGGGGACAAGCGACGGTCGACTGCGACGGTCGACCGCGAAAGTCTCTGGACTTGCTACGGGCGCCGCGGGGGGGGGGGGGGGAGCCAACAAGACAAAAACTAAGTTCTGAACTCATGGCGGTCGACCGTGGCGGTCGACCGCGATCTGACACAGACTAAAAACATGTTTTGAAAGCTGTTATTCTGATTTTGAAACCCTGTTTAAAAATATCAAATAAATTCTAAAAAATGTAAAACTTTGGGGAATGATTGTAGACATGATAATAAACATGCTAAACCATGTTTCGGCATTTTACAAAATATCATCATTTTACAAAATAGGTCAAAACATGAAAATGTAAACATGTGAATTTTGACATTTTGGTTAAACCATGTTTTGAAACTTTGCACAATGATTATGTAGACTTAATAAAATATGTATATGATTATTGTTAAGTCCAAAAACTAAGAATACAATATTTTTACAAATACAATAGAAAATAAAACATATGAGTATGTATATAAAAATATATTTGTTTCATATCTAAGTAGTTAAACCAAATCACAATAATAAATATGAAATATGTAATTTCATATTTGTAAACATGAAAACCCAAAACCATGCATGTATATATTTAGATGTACCGCTATCCGTTTCTACTCCTTTAGGGGAGGTATCTCTATTAGGGAGCGTCTGTAGGAGATGTGTCTCAGCTTAGATGAGTCCGAGTTTATTGTAGATCTAATCGTTTTGTGGATGTTGGATTTCGACGTCATTCTTGGTATGGATTGGTTATCATCCTACCATGTTAGCATCGACTATTTTGTGAAAACAGTCAGTTTGCGAGCGTTCGATGGGTCTGAGTTGATTGTAGCGAGTTATGTGAGACTAGAGTCGTCACATATTTTCAGGATGTCTTTCAGGACATACAGAAGTTACCTTCTATGTGAGAGGTTGAGTTCTGCATTGAGTTGCAGGCAGACACAACACCGATATCTCGAGCTCCTTATCGTATGATACCTGCTGAGATGAGGGAACTACAGACTCAGCTACTGACTCAGCTGAATGATTTAATGATTAATGAGTGTTTGGTGTATGTATTGTGTCAACGGGCAGACTCGAAAGAGCAAGCATATATTTCTTACTTTTGGTTAGGAGCCTGGTGGGTGTCAATATTGGGACAAAATTTCAAAACCATCCCTTTTGCGATTTTATTCCCAAAAAACAACCCATTTCCCACTTATTTGTAAAAACCGACCTGGTTTCAGCCTCAGGGCTGAAACCAGGTCGGTTTTTCGACCTGGTTTCAGCGCTGAGGCTGAAACCAGGTCGGTTTTTACAAATAAAGAGGAAAGAGGTCGTTTTTGGGGAATAAAATCGCAAAAGGGGTGGTTTTGAAAATTTGTCCGTCAATATTGACATCATCATGTGTATTCTGATGGTTGTTTACCCTACTGGAGCCGGCCACATCTGCAAAGCTTTTTCAGTTATTGCTCTCTCCGGGCAGCTTCATCTTATGAGAAGTAATAGAATTACGGATTAATTGCATACAACCCCTTGTAATATGAGGGTATAACCAATTTATACCCCTCCCCCCCTGAATTATTTTATTGTCACTTTGCACTTTCTCAACTGACATTATTTCCCTCATTAGGTTTAGATGTTATATGAAAATAGTTTGGTGACTAGTTACTTTTTGCCTGCTGCTTGCTTCCGCTAGCTGCTAAGGCTTTTGCCTGCTGCTTGCTTCCGCTAGCTGCTAAGGCTTTTGATAGCTCGGACCGAAGAGAAAATACGCTAATGGGAGGCAATTCATCTCCATTTGATCAAGGACATAAAGATGGATATTCTGATCTCAAATCTGAATTCATCGATCTCAGCTGAAAATAAAGCCTAGTTAAACTCATTGTAAATGCTCTGCTTATATTTTCTTCTTTAGAGCTTTTGGTTATAGGTTTTGATATCTCAAATTATTTTTGAGATCTTGATGTACATAATTTCTCATACTGGTTGATGAATAAAATCTTTTCATTGACAAAAAAAATAAAATAATAATAATAATAATATAAAAAATAAAGAAACCCTCATCTATAATATATTATATGTTCAGAGTTCAAATTACAGTTCGTGTGGACCTCTTATCAGGAACAAAACAACTAAAATTTACACATAAATATTAAGATGAGATGCAAAACATTATAATTTGGAATACTAAAGAGGATGAACTATAAAACACAATGATTAACTTTTAAATATCTATTTCATATTCATGTATATTTTTTCCTTTTTTGCATATGAAAAAAGAATATTTTTTTTCTTCTCGCACGAGCCATAGCATTTATCATGGATCATAATAATCCTATGCATATAAAACTGGAAATATTCCCCAAACTGCAAAGCAGGTAAGTGAAGAAATTTCAAACCCTTGAGTTCAAAGGCAAGCAACATAATATAAACAGCGAAAAGGTGTCAAAACTTTGTAAAGCTTAAAAAAGGTGTTTAGGTCTTCCACTCCCTTCTCTCTGAGTTATCCCGCTAAAGCCTTATTTGATTACAAGTTTGCTCATAGATAAGTCACCCATACAAAAGTTTCACACCGAACAAGTGAAAAAGTTATAATGCTTCACTCTACCAACGAAGACTTCCGACCCAAGGTTTGATGAAGGTATTCGTCAAAGGCCTTCTCTGAAAATAACATCCATCCAGCTGGGAAGCTAAAAAGACCACCACAAGATACTCCGTTTCTTCAGATTTTTTTTCTCCGACGATTATAGTGATGCTTTACTATATCTTTTCGTAGAAAATAAGATTTTTAGTCAGACCACCCTGAAGCACTTGAATCTCATCAAGGGGTCATAAGCTGAATTCCACAATATCTGAATAAAAATAAATAACATCCTGATGTGTATCCCAAATTAAATGTTAGTAAGCCCGAAGATTTTACAGGATAAAACAAGCAAGAGCTAAAATGTCTCATTTTCCAGCATCCCGATTATATAAGAGGATATTGCACAATGAAGGACAGTACGGTGCCAAATGCGATTGAATACCGAAAAGGCCTTTTTTTTGTACGCAACTATAGTTGCAATGCAACTTCAGTTGTTGCAATTGCTTCTGCATGTAGTTACAATTACAGTTATTTGGTTCATTTTTAATATTAAATACAACTTGCAGATGAGTAAGAATTCTATCACAACCCGCAAAAAATAGGGGAATCTGTACCATTCACAAGTGGATAGGGAGTTAGCTTGGGAAGTTATCTTTTATTTCTATGGTTAAAACCATCTCACTCTTATAGAGGTGGTTCCGATAGGATTCTTATTCTCTGCAGATGCAACAGTTTGTTTACATTTACAACTTCTATGAAGCAGCTCGTCCTCACTTTTAATAAATTTAAATAAAGTATAAGTTTTTGGATGATTTAGCTCAGATGTGACCTTTAATTTACTTTCTTAATTGTCATTACAGATATGTGTTACAAAAGAGTGTATGCTCATCATAATCGGTACATCATAATATGTTCAGACAATTATCGCTAATAGAAGTTGTGACAGAATTGAAGTTGATGGAGCTTTAAGGACCAAGAATATGATATTCATTTACTATAGAAGAAAGCACATAACAAGGATAAACACAGAAGCACCTACCTGAGCCCAACGGCTTGGTTAAGGGATCTTTCTCGAAGATGTCTATATGGAAAAAGCTGTGATAAAAGAGAGAAGGATTACAAAAGGAAAAAAAAGGCGTGTCAACAATGTGGAAAACAAAATAAATAAAGGGTGACTGAAGGAAACAATTAAACCTCAGATTTAATTTTTACCTAAAAAGTACAGGCATTACATATTACGTTTCCTGTGATAGTAATTTGTCCCAACGTTGTTTTAAAGTAACATGTGCCCTTGAACAAGGTACAACTTTCAGTTCAGTGCTCTCTTCTACAGGAAACTCAGAGACAAGGTCTAAGCGTAGCAGTGTACTAATAGCCTTGTCGATTGGCATCTCAATCTGTAGAAAATATAGACAGTTAACCCATGCTGCTGGCTACAGATGAGCAGGAAATGTTTCTCCTGTACCTTTTTGTTGAACTTATCATATATGAACCTCTCACATGCGTCTCCAATTGTATTACGGCATGAAACCTGCATATTGAATAATAGATTCTCCATGCTTATAGAATTATAGATCATTTGTTTCCCTCAGTTTATTCATCTTTTTATTGTACATAATAAACTCATATTTCCATCAGAATAATGAGAACAAGAGAATTTTTAACATAGAAGTCAATGACTCTTAAAAACAAGCTTCCAAAAACATTTCGTGTCAGAATGAATTGTATGAACTTCTACATATTATGACATGGTAAAATGTCAAATAACTTACTGTCTTCCATCATGAGAATAACATAGGTTTTGCCAGAAAATGACGTGTGTTAGTAAAGAATCAGATGCTGTCAAATTAAGCATACAACTACGTATTGAGTCTATTGGCTATAGTACATAGGAAACTTCAGCTAATAAAAAATTTCTATATCCAAGATTGATGGACATGGCACCAGATCCATCCGCATTGACGCTTACGAATGTGTAGACATTTATCTACCTTAAAACTATATGCAAGATGGAATGTTTATGCTACACTTGATAAAAAAACATTTTATGCATCATTTGGCTTTGTTATCTTCTTCAATATGTGAATATCAACACAGTGCGTACATTTCTATGTCAAATATAAAAAGATATAAATGCGAATATATAGCCATGTAATTGTGCCTAGACCCTATATACTGGAGAATTTTGGTGTTCTGCATACTATACCCGTGTTGGAGTACCACACCCATTCTATGCCGGCAATCTATAGGTGTTAAATGGATTTGAAGAGAACATGTCCACAAATATTTCCTTATCCATATAACTCTAGCAATTAATTAGTGGATAATCAGATTATTTTATGGTACATAAAAAATACCCTAATCTAATCTAATCTAATCTAATATCTAATATCTAATCTAATCTAATTTAATCTATCTAATATATCTAATACTTATTATAAAAGTGTGTTGTTATGTTAAAACATTTCTTCCAAATTTGCCCTTAAACACACGTACTTACATCATATAAACACACATATATATGCATGTTAATTATCATACCACTTATTAAACGTCTACATACATTGATGCATTCATACATACTCAATATTAATGAGGACTTTTGGGAACAGATAATGTTTATATACAAATTGGCTACAATTTCTTAGAATTTTATTTCTAGATCATATTTTTTAACAAAATAGGTATTTTTCTACGTACTTATGCTGTTGTTCTAACTTGTGGAATTAACAATGTACTATTATAGGAACTGAACAAAACTCACTTTGCTTTTGCTAATTTTCTGACTTGAGATATTATATTATTATTAACAAAGTGTGTGTACGTGAACAAAAACATGCAGATAAGCTCCTATATTGGCCAGGTCCATGTCAAGCTGGATGATCTGGATGACCGTTTAATTTCTTTCACATTAACCATTACTAGATAATGTAATTACTCCACCTCTAATAATTACCAATTAATACAATTATTAATTTTCCACGTCCTCCAAATCAACCGCTCTCTTAGAATTGATTTTGTTATTTCATTCCACACCTCACAAATAGTCGTTCTAACTCTATAATTAGTAATTAACCTTCAAATTTTGCCTTTTCATTTCCCTAACAACAATTGTTCTTATAAATCTCTTTTTTTTTCTTTCTTATTCTACAAGCTTCCTCAAAGTCATGAATCAAAACCTTAAAGTCCATCCTTCATTCTTCAACCGAGACATAATATGAAGATATTACGACTTCATCGGAGAGTATATTTATTTCTGGTCCGAAAAGCTTCTGTTCAGTGATCCATACCCCTTTTATTTGATTAAAAATCCATTCTTTGACAAGGCTTTGATTTTTTTTTTCAATGCATGGAGAAGGATATAGAGAGAGAAAAGTGGCTAATAACCCATTTCAGGAGCTCCAAAGGGCGTGGTCCATCAATCTCTGTCACCTCTTCAACTGTGAATCAAGTGATCATTTTTTTCTATCAAAATTTTTAGTTATTCATTTTGAATTTTCTAGAGTTTACAATATATATTGTTGTATTCATTCAGCGAATCATCATAGGTGAAGAACATGAATGGAAGTGTAAAACTGACAGAAACTGATTGCAATAAGGAAAATGAAAATCAAATCTAACAAAGGCTCGCAAACACTAGCTTTTGAACATTGGCTTTCTTATATTGCTCAAACCACAAGCTATTCTAAAACCTTGAGTTAGGTATGATCCAAGGGTCCTAGGATCATTATGTATAAATAAGTAGAGTAATGCGTTCTTTGCTTAAAAAGTCATGTGTGTGATTTTTGAGGTTATTTTCGTCAGTTGACTACTTCTGCCATTAATTTAAAACTGACGGGGTATAATAACTCATTTTGAAAGCTGTGAATGGTAAATTTGCAATTGATTGTGGGGATAAATATGCAAATTTGGATAGTCCGTAGGCAAATAATCCTAATAATAATTAGAATAAATTATAATGATTAAGATATTAGCAAATTGTTATGGCACAGAAAATAATCTAGCCACTAATAAAATGGCAGTGGAAGGATTCAAGTATCTTTTCCTTTCCAAGACTAATTTTAATTATTAGATTTGTTATGACAAATTTTTTCATGTCATATTATTCATTTAATGTTTACTAAGATATTGAAAAATATAAATTAAGTACATCCACGTGCAACATGACAAATTATATATACCATTCTTGGATTTTATCCTTCATAGCTAACTTTCAAAGGATCAAATTAGAATACATTATTAAAATGATTAATAATTTAAGAGATGATTAAAGTTTGATCAAATGGAATATACTTTACCATTTCCAACAAAGTTGATAATTTGTTGATTTAATGGAAATTTTTTCCAAAATTTAGAATTTGATGCTAATTTTGCGAACATGCATGATTTCAGGGGTATGTATAAAATCTCATTTATATACAAATAAATTATAATTTGATAGATTAACATATTATTTTTACTCAGAAACTTCTTTCTATCCTTTAACATGTGCATCCACATGCAACGCACATGCACCATACTAATAAGGCAAAGCTCTTGAAAAGCAACATAAGAAATAATTTGAAATTATATTAATAATCCAATGTACTGGAGAGTGCCAAAGTTGATAGTCTAAATCCTTGAAAATTTGAAGCTAAATTTAAGCAAACAATCAAGAAAAGTTAAAAATGTTATGGACCACAAAGATGCATAATGAAAAATAATCGCCTTGGAACAAGTTTAGCATCATCGAGGAATGAAGATAACAAGATCTTATAGTCATTCAAGCAGGAGAAGTTTAAAAATTTGTCTCAACCTAATATACTTTTGTCAGTAATAGCCACGTTAGAAGTGTACAAGAAAGGGATAACTGATATACCTGATACTTCTCAGAATGGAGCATAAGTGCATAAACTAGAATTGCTTCCTTGTACTGCAAGAGGAAGCACATGAGAAAGACGCTCTTAGAACATTAGTCTGCTGAGTATGAGTATACACATGCAGAAAATCATTTAGTCGCACTTACTTGTTGCTGTTCAGAAGCATCCAGAAGAAAGTAAACTGAACCAAAGCCACTAGCTAAAGTTTTCTCGTAAAGCGTCTTGTTCACAAGAAGCTGGAATAGATATATGCATTCAGATGGTTAAAATTAAAATATTCTCCTGGAGGTGAAAAACATGTAAGACATTTTTTTGTTATGATGTCAAAATGAAATTATTAAATTACCACTACAAGATAAATACAATCTAGTTTGGATATGGGTGTTTGGAAGGGAGCAGGGGCAATTAGTTGGATATAATTACAAATGGAATATACAATTTTATGTGTCTTTGTAGATATTTACTCTCCTAAATTAATATCTATATACTATTACAAACAGGATAAATGTAACTATTCTCTATACTTGCTGTATATATGTAATACTTGTAGTTCTAATGAGAGCCATATTTGCTCACGGTCCTGTATGTAGAGATACTAGTATGTTTGTCCTATAAGTTCAAATATGGTTTCATCTGCACTTCAATTTATATATTAGAGACTTGAACCACAGTCCACGGTTCTGGCGTAAGCATCACAGGATGATAGTTGCCAGCATATCCTCCAAAGCTCTTTTCTGTTCTAAGTTCATTCAGCAAGTTTTTTCCTTCTTACTTGTAAGGGTCCTCTATGGGGGTCAATTTTGAATGATACAGATGCACAATCGGCTCAAATTAATTGCCAATCTTAACTTGAATGTTTTCAGATTTACACTCAACTTATCAATACATTGCCTACATGCTGCAGACTGGAATTGTAGCGTGTAGATAATTCCTTCACCCACTTACAGTTCTTCTCCCTGGGTTTTCTACTATGTATTAAATCACAGACTGATTTCTGTGCCTTGATATTTATTTTCATATATTTGTTACACAATACGCGGTTCGTACCTGGTCGTAATATGAATTCGGGTACGCAATTCGTTACTTTGAAAATTTGGATTTAAGAAGTCTAGCCTACTTCGGTGTGCAAGCTTGGACAGTGGTACATTGTAAACCTTTTTTGGGTGTACTTGCAATATTCCAAAGTGCATAATAATAGAAACTAGAAAACTAACTATGCATTTCAATATTTTTTCATAAAAATACTTAAATACTTCCTTTTTATAGTGTTCGTTTTTTCTTGCTCTATCTTTCTTTTCACATAGTTCCTTGTTGGGATCATGGTTTCATTATATGTTTTATTAAGGTAGGTATTTAGTTACCAGTAAAGTTATATTGTGCACCTCATTCACTTGGTTATGCACGTCGCATTGCCTCTTGCGCATGTGCACTCAACGGGATTTTGCACCCCACATACTTGTAAGCGGTATGCCAATTTCGGAGAATCAATTTGTGTATTGGAGGGAATCAGTTCGCAAATGTACCTATAATTGGTTGGCAGGAACTATATGATTGTTCAAGGGGTGTCCAGGGAATTGCGCAACTGTGGTGTTATCTTTGAATGCCTCTACTAAGTGAAACTGAAACCTAAAACAAGATCTCCTAGGTTTACAGCACAAGCGAGGAAGTGCTAAAATTCAAATAAGAATGCAACTCGCAATTTTTGACTCTTGACAAGCAAAAGAAAAATATAACTATTATTGAAAATTTGAAATCACTGGTATGTCTTAAACAGTGCCCAAGCGTTAGTTACTAATGCTATGAGCTTAAGAAGACAAATTATACAAATTGGAAATTAACTCACTTGATACCGGTCCCAAGTCTGCTTGTAACCCAGAGCTACTCGACTCATATATATTACAAGTGCACTGATAGCAATCACATCAAGCAAAATCGCTGACCTACATAGAATAAGAAAGAAGCATCACAGTGGGGTTCATCTCATTAAAAAAGCTACTATTATAATACAAAGTCTCCTAGCAGTCTAGCAATCATGGAGCAATTATCTAAAGTTTACTTGATGTTGCTCAGTGTAATCCCAGCCATCTAAATAGAGATGTTACGTTTGGCAATACTCTCATAAGAGAATCAATTATCCACCAACAATTTGATTGCACCTATTTCAAAATACTAATGCTTAATCATGCACTTTATTGTACCAGCAATTACTAATGTTTCATGCTCATGTTCTCAACTTTTTTTTTGGTTTGTTACTGTTGTGTGACTAAGCATGATTTTCATTTGCCAAACCAACCATGAAATGTGGTACTTTATCATAAACACCTTTTAAACAGCCATTTTTTCTTAATCCTAGCACGTCAATAGTATGTCAACCTATAATTCTGTGGATGCAGATATAAGCATTGGGTACAGAAATGCGCCAAATTCTAGATACATATCATTAAGGGTGTAAAATGGGTCTTAATCTGTTATATCTGCACTGTATTCGTATGACTATCCTGACGGTCCGGATATGGACACGGATATAGTTATTTATCCGGTTCATATGGGGATACAGATACGGTTGTCTGAAAAGTTCAGATATGGATACGGATATCCGGGTTGTAACTTAAGGAAATAGAGAGCATATGTTTACTGCAAAAGATAACAGAGAATATATTAATAAAGGATATATGTTCATAGGCAGGCAACTATACATGTTTCCTACATAACGAAATCAAAAAAGAATATAGGTTTCCTACATATCATTATATATGCATTTATTATCAACATGCCTGCAAAAGACACTACCAGAATATATATAAAAAAAGTAAATAAGCATTGAAAATAAACCTGAGAAAAGACATAGTCAAACAGTTAAGTGATACTGGTAAAATGAAATTAATGATAGTTGCAGAATTAGTGGCAATATCTCGTACCGGATGAGACTGGATGCTAATTCACATACTCAGGCAGGTAGCTAGCTAGCTAGATGTAGACAGAAGGTAGCTAGATTACTGAATAGAAAAAAGTGAATAAAGAAAGTCCAAGACAAACATGTAAATGATGTACTTGTTCCAGTTTGGCCATCATTTCTTGATACTGCACAGTATCCGAAGTGCACCAGGAGAAAAAAATGAATTTTCCTCTTAATTTACTTGTGTCCCTTTAAGATGAAATACAACCAAGACACCGTTTTTCATAGAAGGATATCAAATTGGCAGTGCGTGCACCAACCGCAGGTCAAATCAATATCTATATGCCTTCTTATGGTTTCAAACATTTCTGTCCACAACGTTTCTACTATATTGCTGACTGATGATACAGATATAATCCAAGAGGATCTTTCTATTCTAGAAAGGAGACTGAAATTACGACATCATGTAGTCTATTTCAGCAAGGAGACTGAAATAACTGCACCTTGTAGAGTCATATGAATCTTATTACAACTTGGAGTATAGAGTCCTGTTATAGCTAGAAGTATGAGTCCTATTCGTAATAAGAGTATGAGTTTTATTTGTATTAGGAGTACAGTCTTATTGATTAGGAGTTCGTAATTCCAGATTTAGAAGGAGTTCTAATTGATTAGGAGTTATAATCATATTCATATTGGGTGTTGTTTAAATAGAAATTCTACAAGAGAATTCTATTTAAATAGCAAGTCATATTCATATGGTAACTCTAATTAGAGTGCTATTTAGATTTAAGATCTCTATTTAAAGAGATGAATTGTAATCCGTAAATCAAGAAGTTGAGAAGCAATACAAGAAAATCTTAGGAGTAGAGCATTGCTCGCTCCACAAAAAATTGCCTTTGTGTTTTATTTCTTGCTTCATCCGATGCGTCGGGTGGATCAATTGGTATTCGAGCAAATAAGATCCCACCATGGGGGTTTGCTGTGCATAGTTGCAACTCGATAAAGCTCATATGACATTGGAGTTAGGTTGAATCAAGAGCTCAAGCGACGTCAACGAAAAATACCTCAACGGATGGCAGAGGACGATCTTGCACCACGGATGGCTAGTTGGAGGTACGCATGGATTCTTTGACGGCTTTGGTGGAAAATGTGTTTCATATTTCTTCAAACCCCTCTTTTTCTAAACCAAACACTGAAGATTCTACAAGAGATGCTAGATCTGTAGAGTTGAAGAAAATAGAAGTTTCGGATGATGAAGACAATGAAAGGAAAAGAAGGAAAAGAAGAGAAAGGAACTACTTTTACTAGTTTTGGCTCTATATCCATGCAACCTTTCAAAGTGGAGGCAAAGGTGGATATTCCTGTATTTAACGATGTGGTTGATGCAGAAAAATTAGATAGGTGGATAGATCAGTTGGAAACATATTTCATAATCTATGGCTATACTTCAGAGCAAAAAGTCTATTTTGCAAGACTAAACTTGACAAGTCATGCCTTGATTTGGTGAAATTCTTTCATGAAGAAGCACGACATGTCTACCATGAACTGGAAGAACTTTAAAATTGTTATCCGCAAGCAGTTTTATCCTATCGAGCACGAAGAAGACCGATGGATCTAGTAGAAATATCTTAAATAAAAGGATGATCAATCAGTGTAGGAGTATACCACTGAGTTTCATAAGCAAGTAACCTTGTTAGGAGTACCAATAGATGGGTAGGAAAAACCTTTATGAAGTAAATTGGAGGACTGCACAAATCAATTCGAAAGGAGTTGAAGTTATTTTTAGTTTTTACTATTGAGGAAGCTAGCAAGAAGGCTAATGCCACTGAAGAGAAAACGGTAAAGGTTTCAAAATGATGATAAATTCAAAGCGAACTCAAAATCGAACAAGGAGGTGCGAGAGGAATCAAGTAAGAGCCAATCCAGTGCAACTAGAAGAAATTTCTATGATCATTGTAATAAAAGTGGTCATACAAAGGAGAAGTGTTAGGTACTTCATCTCGGTTTAAAACCGTGAGACGATAAGAAAGATGATCAAAGTAAATGAAAGTCTATACTGCATGTTAGTGGCGTTGAAGAATTGTCAGAACTGAAAAAAGCCAGTGAGAGGATTGCTTTGGTGATGAAGACATATGACTCTGCTCATAATGACTCAAAGATGCAAGAGGAGCTTTTCCATCTGAAAATACAAGTGAACAAGAGCGTAATTGAAGCAATTGTAGATTTGGACAGTCAAAAAATTCTTATTTCAAATGACTTGGTTGCCAAGATAGGATTGGCTACAACACCACATCCAAAACCACACACTCTAGGATGGAATCAAAAAGATGTGGAGATGCACATCACCAAGCAGTGCACTTTCAAGTTTGCAATCACAAACAAGTTTATTGATGAGGTAACATGTGAAGTCATCCTACTTGATGTATGCTCTGTGATACGTGTTAGTCATTATTTGTGGGATAGGGATGCTACACATCATCGAAGGTTGAGGAAGTATAAGTTTGTGAAGGATGGCAAGGAGTTTATTATCAATGCTAGAGAGAACGATGATGATCCTATTTCTCTACTCACAGCATCACAAGTGAAATGTATGGTAAATGCCAGCATGAAGTTTGTACTACTATTTATTAGATCAAAGGATGAAGTGAATGGCTCACGCACCTTATTTTCAAGTAATAATAAGCCGGAAGAGGAGATTGAGGATGTTCCGAAGGGGTATGATGATTTACTCCAACAACCAAGAAGCTTTCCACCACAGTGTACTATCGAGCATCTAAATAAGTTGAAGTTCGATGCACCTCTTCCGAGTTCAGGGATGTATGAACATTCCAATACAAAGAATGAGGAGACTAAAAGGGAATTGCAGTGATCTCAACAAAGGTCTAAAGACAAATATCGAGTTAAATTAGAATTCAAAATGGGTGTTTTTATTTGGTTCCGATTGAACAAGGAGAGGCTGAAAAGTGAAGGAAAGAAAATCAAGCTTATTCGATGTGGTCCATTTAAAATCTTAAAGTATGGAGACAATGCTTATCAGCTCGAGTTGCCTGCATAGATGCAGATTTATTCTATGGTGAATGCTGAAAAGTTGAAGCCATTTGACCCTTCCATGCTAGATGAAGAGGATAGGCCTAATGTTGTACTTCCCCCACCTGATGATTTGTTCATTGAGAAGGAGGAGCCGCTTAAGGATGATTGTGTTTTGGAGCAGAAAATTTGTGTGACAAGGCAAGGGAAAATCATTACCCATCAAACTTAACGGAAAGGTCAACTGCCAAGCCGAACAAAATGGTATAGCGAGAAGAAAGGGAAGCATGAGCTTCCCTTTACTTGAAGTTCTGAGCTTGTGGAGCTTCTCTCTTTCAAAACGGGAGTATTGACCTAGGAGGATCCTTCCATTTTAGCAAGACGACTGAAACTATAGCACCTTGTAGTCTATTCCAGCAAGGAGACTGAAATTGCAACAACTTGTAGAGTCCTGTTACAATTAGGAGTATGAACTCTATTACAACTTCGAGTATAGAGTCTTGTTATAGCTAGGAATATGAGTCCTATTTGTAATAGGAGTACAAGTCCTAATTGTATTAGGAGTACGTTGTAATTCCAGATTTAGAAGGAGTCCTAATTTATTAGGAGTTGTAGTCCTATTCATATTGAGTATTGTTTAAATAGAAATTCTGCAAGAGAATTCTATTTAAATAGAAAGTCATATTCATATAGTAACTCTAATTAGAGTGCTATTCAGATTTAAAATCTCTATTAAAGAGATGAATCGTAATCTGTATATCAAATTAGTTAAGAAGCAATACAAGAAAATATTAGGAGTGGAGCATTGCTCGCTCGGCTAAAAATTTTCCTTTGTGTTTTAGTTCTTGCAGTTGTAATTTTCTTCTACCTTCTCTTTGTTCCTCCGATACGTCGAGCGGATCAATATATATAGGTTCAAGAAAATTTAGAACAAGTGTATAGTGGCATGTAGTCCTGTGCATACATGGAACAGAACAGAGCCTTAAGAGAGCATTGAGTTAAAAAAATCTTCTTAATCCAACAAGGACGACGAAATGGGAATTCTTGAGAGACATAGCACAAAGTCCTATTCTGAAAAAGGTCATATCTATTACATCAAGAAGTACACATAAAAAGAAAACAAAGAAACGTACGGGGATGAGGCGATGTTCTCAAATTTGTAATTGACAAAGTATGCCAATAACCCTAATATACTTGCAATATCCAAGCGCACCTGTCAGCATAGAGTAACAATTAGAAGCCAAATCAAGAAACAAACCTTCTGCAAAATGAAATATGCTGCTTTATGGTTGTGGTAAGTTGTGGTTTTCAATGTCTGCTAACCAAGCAATAAACTTCCCTTATTAGGCATCATGTGCATATGTAGAAAAGAAGAGACAGCAAAACATGTCAAATCTAACATGAGCAGAAAAATTAAGAAAAGAATGATATGATACTCAAGTAAATCACACCCACTATTTATGCATGTATAAATAATATAAATTAATTATTTACTAAATACAGTAAATGAAAGTAAATAATAAGAAACTTGCAAAATGTTCATAGAAGATCATACTGTATCAAGAATTCGAAAAGACAGCTTTTTGTGAGGAAAAATAACCTGCAAACAAGACATAGCCACACACACTTATCCTCCCTTATTCAAGAACAGGTAGGAAATAATGGTACTGAGAGTAATTAGGAGAAAGAGGGAAAAAGTTAAAGTTATCTGCTATTACTGAGAGATCTGGAATTGGTATCTTTTCATATATCTTCAGCTGCAAGGGCTGAGCGTCCACTCTATTTTCAGTTCCACTTTGACTTGTTTCTTCATTGTAAAGCAGAATCAATTCTTGGAAAGCTGGCTCCTAATGATAACTAAACTTGAAAGTTAAACATGTAAAAAGATAGATACTGGAGAGAACATAATGTAGAGATTATGAGTTATGTAGTCATAAGCCTCACATGCAAATGCATCAGAATAAAGAAAACTTTGAAGCAATAAAGATTACTAAAACAAAGAACTACTAACTAATTATCACAGTCGATGAGTATTAGAGTATAATAATAATTTAAAGAGTATAATAATAATTTTAAAATGACATGCATTAACACAGTTATTAACCTTCTCTTTATCCCAGCCACTCTAAAACACCAAAGTACACGTGCCTTAGCAAACCTTGTCATTTTCCCAGCTCGTACATAGTCTTCTAGCCTGCGAGATTCTTGGAGAGTTGCTCCTTAATCCCATCATCTGAAACTACATAACCATAAGGTAGGTCTCACTAACTTCTAATCAGCTTTCTAGATTTAGAAATACCCTCTCTTGACAAAATGTTGCATTAACAAGGAATTTAGGACCAAGTTTAGAGGATTTATGTGAGGTTGATAAAAATTCATTAAATTTGATAACTATTCCATAAAGCCTTCTGAGATGAAGTTTCCTTCATAACCAACCTTGGTTTGGTGTAAAAGGACTCTGAATGATAACTAATTAATGTTTAGAAAGGACTAAATAGGACAAAACTTCAACTGGAGGAAAGTGTTATTAAGGTGGAATTGCACTTAGTCCTATGAATGAGTTGTCCCAATACAGTACATCAATGAGAAATCACACAATAGGCTTCAAATCCAGAACAAAAAAGAGTAACTGGTAAGACTCAAGTATAAGCACTACGATGAATATGAAATGCATGCTTCTCAAACACGATTATTTGAACAAGTGTTGCTGATGAAAGGAACTAAAGGTAAAAGAGGACTCCATCAAGAAATCAATTATTAGTACAGCAGATATGTTTCCTGGTAAGGTGATCATAGTGAATATAAAGAAATACCATATATTAACAGATAAAAAATATATTGAATATTGCATGTCAGGTACATGGAGATTGTTGAAATAAACAGCATTTATGAGTGGGTACAACTCAAAGCATGTTTATTCACTAGCAAATAAGTAAAGCATTTAGAACAATGAACCTTATTCGCATATAATAGGATAATTCACTGAGTTAAAAGAAAAATAATATTGCATTTTGTAACTTACAACTAAAAGCTTAATGAAGTATATGAGTACCATAAAATTCGGTTACATGTGAGCACAAGAGAATGTAGAGGTTTCTTACATCATAAACATTCACAATTAGGACTAAATATGGATGATCCATTATCTGAACCTTCTTACATATGCTGAGGCTCTAGAAATGTACGGTGCTTTAGCTACATGAGATGGGATCCTGTACTGGTCAGAGAAGTGTGTGAGCATACTTTCACTCTTTGGCTTCAGGAGGCTGTCCATTGAATTTCTCATGCAGCACATAAAATTTATCACAGTGATTCATGCGTGTCCTTTCAGTTAAAAGCTCAATGTGACCATGTTGGTGCATGGTGCAACTGGAGCACTCAACTCTCTCTGATGGACAATGTAAGTCACGAGATATCAGAGAGAGAACAGTGAGAATTACATAATATCAATTTCGCAACCTCATCATTGAAGGTGGCTTCCAATTCATTAGAAATTCTCAGTTAAATGGGAGACGTGAATTCTGAGAGAAACAGTTAACCATGAAGTTGGTCAACTTTTGCATGAAAGACAAAAAAGGAACGAGAACGTGGAATAGGACGTCATTGTGGAACCATTCATAAGTGCAATCTTACTAGTCAAGATGAGCCAAAAATGCTTGGCATCTGCTGGTACTGTACTCACTAATGAGGGCATATTAAATTCTCATTAAGGAATTGACTAGATGCAGTTTAAGGAGATTCAAGTAAACTTGATTCAAATACCTAAGCAAAAAGTGTAAGTACATCTTTTGATCATGTGATTGTTAAACCTCTGAAGTTCTAAAGAGAACTTCTAAGACCAATCATGTACAATAAGTCATCATGTCGGGTCTCTTCTGAAACGGAACAAAGACAAAGAAATAGAATGTCAGTGAACTTCTCTAAGACCAATTGAGAACCGTTTCAGAGTACAACTCAAATGAGAATGTTGACATGCACGTAAAAACAATAAATGAGTGCTTGATAGAAGAGAAATGTAAATGTCAATTGATGACACAGAAAAATTTTAGAAATAGTTTGGATATGTAAAATATAGGTTGTTGGATTTACCACTTAGTTAAAGAATAAGAAGAGTTGGGTTGGATTTACCTAAACCTGGCCATACCAACCGAAAAAAAGGTCTAGGTTAGTGTGGAAACCTGAATGAGCTTGGGTTAGAAGCTTTTAGATATACTGTTTTGGCCGGATCTGACTAACTCTCTACACGCTGGAATTGAAATCAAAGTGACTCGATGAATAGCCACCCAAATAATATACACACATCTTTTGTTGTATGAATCTACATAGCTTTATGTGTCAATGTATATTTGAATGTATATCAAAACATAAGAGAGTAAATGCCATCAGTTTACTTAAGAAAATTAGGATCAATGATCAAGATTTCACATATAAATTCGAACTATCGATTTGGTCCTCATTTCATATTTCAGATTAGGGATTTATTTTCCCATTCTAAAGCACCTATGCCTCATCTAACCTCATTCTCGATGTCTCCCCTCAGGGATGTCCTCTTCTAGACTGCTCCACTTTTCCTGCTCGCTTTAGAATCACCTGTACATTAGCTCTCTCTACTTGGTTCATCTTCATACCAGCCTACATCTCTTGATCCAGAAAAGCATTTCATTGCTTGTAATGTTCGATATTTTAATGCTATTGTTTTTGTGATGGCCAATCTTTATTATAAAATGCACACATGAATATGAAGTTCTAAAATTTTGTTGGTTTATTCTTCAGTGATAATTAAACAACAGATAAGATCCCAGTTATACACCCAATCAACCCATTCTCTATCTTACCTGAATAACCCAATGCAGTGTTTTAAATATCGGCCGACATGTCGGACATGTCGGCCGATATAGCGGATTGAGGGGTCCAACGACACAAATCGGGGAAAAACAAGTCGCATATCGTTTTTTACCGACATATCGGCCATATCGGCGAAAAATCGGCCATATCGGCCGATTTTCTTGTTTGGAAAATCGGCCATATCGGCCGATTTTCCTGTTTTTTCTTTTTTTCTTCTTCACACGTGAATGTTTGGTTTGTGGACTATTTTGATTAATAATAGGCTAATGATTACTTGATGTTTGATCACTTGATTAATAATAGGCTAACTGATTAATAATAGGCTAATGATTATTGATTAATAAGGAGAGATTTATTTTATTTTAAATGTGCATATGAATGTTGAAATGTGCAGAGTCATGAAGTTATGAATTTAGGAATGCTTAGATAGTTAGATTACATTTAGGGCATGATATTATACATATGTGGATCACCCGATATGGCAATCCGATATTTAGTCCATGTCCCCCGATATATCCCCGATTTCCGCTATCCGACATGGATTTCAGCCGTCCGACATGAACCCGACATCCGATATTTAAAACCTTGACCCAATGTAACCCAAACAAACCCAGAAAACCTGCAGGCTTTCCAGCAATTTGATACCCATTGGGTTTAGGTGAATAAGTGAGGTTTCAAGATTTGGTTTTGAGTACAAAATTTCCTCAAAACCTGTATGACCTGACCATTGACATCCCTACATAGAATCATAGTTGAACAACTTTCTCAAAACAGGATAGATCAAAACAGATATGGTTTCAAGTAGTACAAAAGGATCTATGCATATAAATACACATCTACATACATACAACATTCATATACATACACATATCCATATGCATGCCCGTACACACACACGCATCCATGTGTCTGTGTATAATAAACACATGCACGCGAACAGATGCACAGACGCAGATAGAACAGACACATAAATATATCTATATGTGTGTGAATATATAAATTCACAAGCACGCGCATACAGACACACATACATGTACTCATATACATTATACCAATGTGTCTGTAGACATAAATACACACACACAAATGATAGGTGCTAATGTGATGGATGGCCTTTACATAAATACTAAATGGCAAGTCATTGTCAGTGTATAAGTTTTAATAAGTTTCAAATATGCAAATCCAAGTTACAGAAGAACATAGATAAGGTAATGAAGGATAAAAAAAATATAAATAAATGAAAGGTACCTGAAGAGTTGATTGAGAAAACAAAATTGAAATAGAAGTTCTCAACGTATTCCAAATATTATTTCCAGAAGATTCCTTCGTAGCTGGTTTCCATATGTTGCTAAGTGTTATTCTTGGTAGGAAATTTGGCCTAAAATAACAGACATCAATATAAAGTTTTTATACTAAAAAATAATAAACAAAGAGTTTTTATTTTAATAATTCACGATATAGTAAAATATAGAAGCAGTACTTCAAGTAGGTTAAAGGAACAGATATTCCAGAGGACTTCCATAATGATTTCTCACATGCCGTCAAGTAAATTAAAGAATGAACACAGTTAGTTGGCATTGCTAATTTTAGAATATAAAGATAAATTCCTCAACTGTCACTACTCCAGAGTTTAGATGCAGCTGCAGAATCTTAATATGGAAGCAAAGTCACCCAAGTTAAATAAGCACAGTCCATATTTAAAATGGACTATAAAATTCGCATAAATCCCAGGTTTAAACAGACCTGCAAGATCCCTCAACACTCAAGCTACTGTAAGTTGCGGGTGCAATGACAGGGACTTTACGAACTAATAAATATTCAAATACATATTCCAATCTTCAAATAAAGGTTTTATTATGTGCGTGGTCTTCGAGAGCTTACCAATTAGTCGGATTAAGCATTGATTAATTGGATTACACAGAATTATGCTTTTTTATACTTTTTTCAATATATATTTATTATTTATCATATGTTAAAATATATAAAATTCAAGAAAATAGAAAACATACTAAGAAAAAGGCCAACAAACATCCAGTTTAACAATCAATAACTAGTTAACTACGTAAAAGTTCAATTCAAACATCAAACTTAATTGGATAATAAGTAGTTAACCAATCCATAGATCAAAAGTAACTAGACACTCCAATAAAAGTCATATAATTAAATATTTAAAGTAAAACTAAATGTCAATAACCCAAAAACAAATCATTTGGTCTTCCAAATCATCCTTATAAATGAACGAGAAGCTTTGTCGAAGATAGAAGCTTCACTGATTCCTCGAAGATAGAAGCTTCATCGGGCTAATGAAGGATGAAGGGCACAATCTTGTTGCAGCCACCGGGATCGGATGAGTGGAGAGAGAGAGAGAGTGATTCCTCGAAGATAGAAGCTTCATCGGGCTAATGAAGGATGAAGGGCACAGTCTTGTTGCAGCCACTGGGATCGGATGAGTGGAGAGAGAGAGAGAGAGAGAGTTGCAGTATTTGGGAAAAGATAGGGTTTTTTTTCTTTTTCTTTTTCTTTTCCTTTAGTTAGTTGGATTAGGTTTTGGGGTAAATGGTTTCAATCCTCAATCAAAATAAAAAAGCGCCCGCATAAACAAATTAGGCAAGAGCTTATTTAAGAATCGACCAATTAAGCAGGAGTTTGCGTAATTGAGCGCATAGCTCAAGTATTGCATGTTTTTATCCCGCTTTCGCTTAAGGGACATTTAAACCTTTTTTATAAAACACAACCAGTAAGAGCACATTCAAAGAAAAAAATATCCCCCCAACACTCAAAGTACTGTAAGTTGCGGGTGCAATGACAGGGACTTTACGGATTAATCAATAACAAATACATATTGATGTAAATACTTTTATCCTGAAATTAAGCTAAAAGCATCAAATAAGAAAATAACTTACTAGCTTGGTTATGAAATTTGTATGAAGATTCTGAAAAGGTAAAGAAAAAATGTTGAATTGAACATATCAGAACTTAGGTTCAGAAGAAAAGAAGCTCAATTTACTCCACTTACAATATAGAAGATGATTATAGCCCATTAATATTACTTTTGTTCTTAATATTACAAGAATAATAGATACAATTAGCAGAACTATTGGCTTCCCAGTAATCAACTACTTGTGAAGATGCCTCTTTTAGCCTCTAGAGGAAACATCTGCTTTGACGTATCAGCTATCATGTTCAACATCACACCTCTCAACAGCGTTTGTTTCAACTATTGGCTCATTCTGACACCTTCACTGATCTAGTTCACCCACCACTTTCTAAAAAGCGCTCCAAATGATTTAACATTACCAAAAGTATTTTGAAATTAGATCTCTGTCTGAACCCGAATTCCAAAAATATTCTTGGGGATCATATAGATGGGCAAATATGTCGAACCATCAATCGAGTACCCTTAATGCACAAGAAGGTCCACTGGGAAGAACTGTCATTTTAAAGTGGATGAAGTGTTCAACATGATAAAACGGACCCACAAGGAACTAAGGATGCAAAGTCATGAAACCCTAAACCTAAGTGGAGGGAGACTTGGATCAAAACTCTCCCGAAAGTAGACTAAGGCATATTCACGCAGTGATAACGTCAACTAGCGCTAAGGTCACGCACTGTTAAGGTTTACATGGTGTTAAGCTCGCGTAAAGTTAACGATGCGTTAACTTTCCCACGAACTGACAGTTGAATTAATAGACAACTATACAGCATAGTTGTTAAGAGAGCCACAAGACAAAATCTCTGCATAAATTTATGCGGAGCGTCTACGCATCACTACTAACACTGCATAAACAACAAAACCTGCAAGAGTTGTTGCAAAGGATGCTACACCGCCGTACACTAAAAAGCTGCCATAGTAGCTCTCATAAATCTAATACCACGTAAACCCCCCAAAACCACATGAACTCCCAAAAACCTGCAAGAGCTGTTGCAAAGGACGTCATGCCGCCATACATTGAAAAGCTGCCAAATTAGCTCTCATATATCTAATACCGCGTGAACCCTTAAAACCTCGTAAACAAGGGTTTCTCTATAAATAGTCCCTTAGCCCACAACCAAAAGGCTCCATAGCTCTAAAATTTCCAAACTTTTTTTCAGGCCTCCTTACCCTGAGTTTAAGCTCTCCTCTTCTCAAGCAGAGCCGCTTTTGCTCTAGAGGGCTACCTTGGTTCCCCTTGGTACTTTGAGTTACATACCTCCTCTTTATTGGGATTTTCTCAATGATCTATCAGCGCTCTGTCGAGGTTTGCTTACTAAAGTTTCTAATCATCCAAAAGTCACTACTCCTCCCTAAGGAATTTTATCCTCTCAAAGGGTTACCAATAACACCCGAGAGCGACTTCTCCCTTAGTTGGAGTTATCTTCTTTTCACAAAGTGTCTGCAAACAAACCCGCGTAGAAAAAAAAAATTTTGGTATTCATCAACTGAGATCTACTCTTCCCCCAATGCGCAAGCTTCACAAAAGGGTGACATCGACACTTCCCACATCATCATACAGTCAACGGAGATCCTTGAATTATCTCTATCAGCACACAATCAAGACCCCACCTAAACAAAAATACAAAGTAAGCAAACTGGATCCCTTCTCAGCTAATTCGAAGCCTAAGTCCTGAAGACCGCTAGTACGATGTCTTCATCCCTCGATTTGCGTGGAAAACAATTATCATTCTCCCTGATTATTTTTTCTACAACCAATCTATCTAATCAAGATAAGCTAATCATAAAGCCATTGAAGAGACTTTCACTTATGTCAACAATGGTTGTATTATCATTTTTTTGAAAAGGAACATGCTAATCAAAGTTTCCTAATTGAAGATATTTTATCATTGGATTAACATGACAATCATTTAGCGATCAGAGTTTCCTTATGATTAATATATTAATAATTATAGTAAAAGACTCAATAGTCAAAGCTTAAGGTGTTAAAATATGTATCTTGCATATGTATTCTACATAGGTTTTATATTTTCCAGCTAACACCTTTATCACAAAAAAAAACATAGTAAACATTAAATAGTAAAAACGATTGCTTCATAGTCTCGTCCTATGTACTTCTGAGTTTTGTTTTTGTTAATTTCTTGATTTAATCTAGTGAATGTAAAGGCATGATGTCGATCAATTCGTGTTTCCAGTAGCTCAATGATATGGGTATCTTTGCATTGCCCCATGTGTGACTTATATTTTTAGTGTTTGTGCATATGTATCGCTTGAAATGTACTTTAATTCCAAACTTCTATAGTAACTAAGGTTGCATCAGATGTAAATAAAGTTATCATTATGCCTTTTTTGGTTGACTATGGGCAACATTCTACTATGGGCAACATTCCAAACAATACAAATACATCTAATTTGGATCCACTGACACATTTGTTGACACTATATTGTAAATATTTTGATTGACTTATTGAAGAATATACCTTTTTTGGTAATATAAAGTGAAAATTTGGAAAGAAATAAATTCATACAATACAATTTGGACAACACTAAATAGAAACCACCACGAAAACTAACATCAAAAGACTAAGTAATGAACTCGACTTCCGTGAGATGTGGTTGACTATGGGCAACATTCTACAATGTCATTGAATAATTTTAAGGCACCAAATTCACATGGGTTGAAGAATGGATGAGAATGAGACGCCTCGCTACTAAGCATAAATTTTATGCTTGGTACCAAGCTCCTACATTTTTCTCATAAATATATGTGTGTGTATGGGAAAGTGTTCCTAAGGTGACACCTTTACCTTAGATTCAATCTAAGAAAGCACCTTCAAAATGATAATATCCTAAATCAATTTACTTGATCCACTCCGTTCATTTTGATTTATATATCTTGAATTTATCTAAAAATTAGCCATATTGGGTTATAGTTACTCATGCATCAAATGATTGTTTTATGACAATACTACAAAAGAAACAATGAAAAATGTGTTAAAAGTATCAAAGCATCACGATTTTCATTTTAAAGATGTTTTGAGACATTTAGATCATGATGAATGAAGCGAATCATCCATTAGAATAGTCTAATCCATGCATCAAGAGGTGCTTCCTTAGATTGAATCTAAGGTGACACCTTAGGAACGCTTTATATGTATATACACATATATATACACTATATATACACACACACACACACATATGTATGTATATATATGTATATATGTATACACACACAAACATATATATATATATATTATATATATATAGGTGAAAACTCTTGTCAACTTAAGTGGATAGAGAATAGTGTGCTCACCAAAGTTTTTAACCACTCATATTCCTAGGGATCCATGTATTATATAAAAAGTGTTTTATATTAATAAATGTATGGCTACAAACTTTGGTAGACATCAACTAAGTTGATAGAGTCTTGCTATAATATATATATATATATATATATATATATATATATATATATATATATATATATATGTGTGTGTGTTGGTGTGTGTGGTTGTGTGTGTGTTTTTAATGTGTTGTGTGTCGCTGTGTAGACATTCCATATCTAATTTTTAATACAAAGTATTTGTTAAAATTCAATTTTAGATTTTTTATCAAAAAATTAAGTTTATCAATAAATTAAAATATAATTTTGAGCAAAACTGATTTAATATGTAAATGTAGAATGTCTTGTATGGAATTCCTTTTCCATACCTTTGATAAATGGATTGATAAATAATTTTTTAATAATTTTATGGTAGAAACTTTTATGCTTCTAATTTATGATTTAGAATTTAAGAAATTTTAGATTCGGTACAAAATTGAATGAAAACATAGAAGGAAGAAATATTACATATAAAGGGCATAATATGTAATTTTAAAACTAAATAATACCGATTTTGCTACAAAAGTCAAATCCTGTGCAAAAATTCAAGAGGCTAAATATTAGAAAACCCCCTAACTTTGGACAGTGGTGTGTGTGTGTGTGTGTAGGGGGGGGGGGGGGGGTTACCATTAAATTGTCCAAGGTTAGGGGGTTTTCTAATATTTAGCCTCTTGATTTTTGCCACAGGATTTGACTTTTGTAGCAAAATCGGTATTATTTAGTTTTAAATTACATATTATGCCTTTATATGTAATGATTTCTTCCTTCTATGTTTTCATTCAATTTTGTACCGAATCTAAAATTCTTAATTCTAAATCATAAATAGAAGCATAAAAGTTTCTACATAAAATTATTAAAAAATTATTATCAAATCATTTATCAAAGGTATGGAAAAGGAATTCCATACAAGACATTCTACATTTACATATTAAATCAGTTTTGCTCAAAATTATATTTAATATTGATAACTTAATTTTTTGATAAAAAATCTAAAATTGAATTTTAACAAATACTCTTGTACTTAAAATTTAGATATGGAATGCTACACACACGCACACACACATAAACAACACACACACACACACACACCACACACAATACTATATATATATATATTATATATATATATATATATATATATATATATATATATATAGCAAGACTCCTATCAACTTAAGTTTGATGTCTACCAAGTTGTAGCCATACATTTATTAATATAAACACTTTTTATATAATACATGGATCCCTAGGCAATATGAGTGGTTAAAAACTTTGGTGACACACTATTCTCTATCCACTTAAGTTGACACAACAGTTTTCATCATATATATATATTATATATATATATATATATATATATATTATATATATTATTATTATGTTGTGTGTGTATACATATATACATATATATACATACATATGGTGTGTGTGTGTGTGTATATATAGTGTATATATATGTGTATATACATATAAAGCGTTCTAAGGTGTCACCTTAGATTCAATCTAAGGAAGCACCTCTTGATGCATGGATAGACTATTCTAATGGATGATTCGCTTCATTCATCATGATGCTAAATGTCTCAAAACATCTTTAAAATGAAAATCGTGATGCTTTGATACTTTTAACACATTTTTCATTGTTTCTTTTGTAGTTGTCATAAAACAATCATTTGATGCATGAGTAACTATACCAATATGGCTAATTTTTAGATAAATTCAGAGATATATAAATCAAATGAACGGAGTGGATCAAGTAAATTGATTTAGGATATTATCATTTTAAGTGCTTTCTTAGATTGAATCTAAGGTAAAGGTGTCACCTTAGAACACTTTCCATACAACACAGATATTTATGAGAAAAATGTAGGAGCTTGGTACCAGGCATAAAATTTTATGCTTAGTAGCGAGGGGTCTCATTTCATCCATCTTCAACCCATGTGAATTTGGTGCCTTATTTGATAATAGTGGGTAACCTCACTACCAGCACAAAAACTTGTGCTTAGTACTATTGTTCTCCTTATTGCTCTCTCTCTCTCTCTCTTCTCTCTCTATATATTATATATATATTATATATATATATATATATATTATTTATATATATATATATATATATATATATATATATATATATATATATATATGGTTAAAATTATTCAATGACATTGTAAATGTTGCCCATATCACCAATTCTCACGGAAGTCAGTTCATTTACTTAGTCTTTGATTGTGGTGGTTTCTATTTAGTGTTGTCCAAATTGTATTGTATGAAATTTATTCTTTCCAAATTTTCACTTTATATTACCAAAAAGGTATATTCTTCAATAAGTCAATCAAAATATTTACAATATAGTGTCAACAAATGTGTCAGTGGATCCAAATTAGATTTGTATTGGTTTGGAATGTTGCCCATAGTAGAATGTTGCCATAGTCAACCAAAAAGCATAATTGATAACTTTTAATTCATGCTACAACCTTAGTTATATAGAAGTTTGGAATTAAAGTCATTTCAAGCGATACATATGCACCCACTAAATATAAGTCACACATGGGGCAATGCAAGATATATCCCATATATATGAGCTACTGAAACACAATTGATCGACATCATGCCTTTACATTCACTAGATTAAATCACAGAAATTACAAAACAAAACTCAGAAGTACATAGGACATTCATCGTTTTTACTATTTAATGTTTACTATGTTTTTTTTGTGATAAAAACAAAGTTTAGGAGTTATGAGAAAACCCATTTTAAATTTGAGATTTTATCAGAAACCTCCCTAATAGCTACTGGCAAATTCAAGTTTAGAATAATAACATACCCTATTATCGTGGTTATTTCTCTTTTGGATATTCTAAATTTGATATTTCTAAATTATCAAACTATTTACGAATTCAAAGTTTGTTCATTGGTTCACTAAATCATTTGTAATATTCTTTTCACTTTGCATTTACGTATATGCAGAAAAGTATCATTATAATGTATATTTACGACCTACATATAAACATGAAATGAACATGCAAAACATTTAAANCACATTGGAACCTGTATATCATATATGTCTTACTTGTTATAAATAGATTGAACTTGAGACTTCCAAGGTGGCTTAGTAAGTAGGCCATTAACCGCTAAACTGATTACACGTGCCTTGTCCCGATGATCTTCATTTTAAATATCTTTCTCTAACTATATGACAATCAACCTCAACATGTTTCGTCATTTCATGGAACAAAGCATTATATGCAATATGGATAGCTACTCTAATACCAGGAGACGCGATTTGATGAATTCAGGGAGAAGAGAGTACAGTACTATTCTCCCTTGAACTTATTTATACTAATTACCTTCTACAATGTACATAAAAGATCCTATTGCAATATATATTATTAACTTAATATATACTACTAACAATTATGTTGCTATACAAGTAACTTTGTGTGTGCGCGCAATCATGCATGTATGAGTGCTCCAAGTGTGAGTTTGTGTTGAATTCTCCCGATATTAAAAACAATTAAAATGATGAAAGTAAATATGGGTAAAATTATCTTTATTCTTGCCCAAAAAGTAATATAAATTCATTAGAACTTACCTCAAATAGAGTTCTGAATGTTTGGAGTTACTGTCCAGAATAACTGGTGCTTCAGAGTTTGAAGGAAGTAGCCCAATCCTATTAAGAAATTTCCGTATAAGTCTACCACGAGGTCCAACAGATGACAAAAAACCTTCATAACGTGGGATTGCCCTTTGGGCAGCAAGCCAAATAGGAAGGTCCTTATCTGGTGTCTGATCACCGTGCATTTGGTCGCCAGATGTGCTTTCATCAAATGGTAAAGTATTTTCTAATGAATATTGTTCCTTAAGCCAAAGCTTCACTTTTTCAATCCACTTCTCCAATTTGTGTCCCTCATTCGAGGTTTTCAAAACCTGTTTAAAACAATAAAAAAATCCAATTCTTAAAACAGGAGATTGAAAACAAAATAGAGTAGTAATGCAACAGAAAATAACTAGTAGAGACAACGAGGAAAGCACACAATATTCCATGAACTACCCTAGTGAAGGCTGATCCCGATGACAGCCAACATTTTGCAAATAGAAAATCATTGTAGCGCATATTATGTATGTTATCTTACAGTGAACAGTATATCTCTATTTGCTTTCTTAATGCTAGAATTGGGTCCAAATACATCTGCAAAATATGATATTACTGTTCATAATGAAGCATTCTTAACAATTGCTTTTCAAGGATTCATGGAATTGAACAACCATGCAGCTTAATTGCATTTTCATAGTAAGAGCATATACTGGAAATTTATCTGGACAGCACAAATGCACAATGATGATCTTCAAAGCATACTGCCAAATCTATTTTGGTTTTACCCTGGCTATAGCAATACTATTGACACAGCTGAGGAAAACCTCATCATACTCCAGCAAGTTACGAATCTACATTTCCATCTTCCATTTGCTTTTGCACCCATATCGATTTTTTTGGAGTTAGTCCCAATGGTGGCCTCCTTTCAATAACAAAAACACCCAATTTCATTTTTATCACACTCATACCAGACAACTCAAGGACCAGGCTAGGAATAGTTTGGACCTATGTTGCATGAAAATGGGTATGGGTACCAGTATGGGTGCAGGTTTGGGTACGGAACATGGCAAAGTTGTAAAATGTAGGGTACGGTGACACGGCTACATATATATATTGAGCTTAATAATTCACATGAGATCATTATTATTTTTCAATTCAAGTGTTGCTAGAATTAAAATTCCTATCATATCTTTACGTTTCTTCTATTGTGTTGATTATTATAAATCGGAAGCTTCTCATATTTGAACTAGACAAACAAATGACCCTTTAAAATCATAATTCTGAACTTTATATGGGCTAAAACGACCCTAACCTATGTCTGACGAGTTTCAAGAAATAGATGTGAGCATCGTGAAGTGTGAGATACACGTCTAGGAAGCATTTGACAAGTGTTTTCATTACATATAGCATATAATTGAGCACCTATCTGAATAATGTATGCATATATCCAAGATTTGTCCTTGAAGTTTGGGTACGGATAAGTGATGGGTACGTGTCGGGTATGGGCGCGGCTTCATGATAGAAATACCTCGATAACATAGGTTTGGACCTTTTCATCTTCCTAGCTGTCTGTAAGACATGTGTTCCGGACATCTACTATCATCTTATAAGGGACTAAATGGTATATGGTCTAATATCGAATATATACTTTTTTATTTTTTTATAAATATTGTGCTATATAACTCTTGGCCCTTCCCTTGTTTCTTTAAGTTTTCAGGTAAAGCGATTAACATGACTATATACGAAACTAACCATCAACCTTGTCTGAAGAGTTTCATCACAGGTTATCTGCACGGTCAATTACGTAATCACAAAGAATTTCTCCAGTCGTCTGTTCAAAAGAACCAGACTGTAGATAATATATATATACATAGTGACAAATAGTAAGTTCCTGACACTAATATTAAATAGAACTTGATGAAATACTAGAGAATTTAAAATCAAAGGACCTTGTTCAACCAGCGACCAATTGATTTCAATGGCCTTGACAGACTGAAGAAAATCTCCTGTAAAATCTTTGATTGTAGGTAATCAAGTTTCTCAACTATAAGTAAACCTCTTTGCCGTTCAGTTGTGTATCCACGCCTGTTAGATAGTCAAACACATATATGTCAAGCTAAAAGTGAAAAAATCGGTTGAATTTGCAGTTTTGTAGAGATCCAAATTTGCAAATTTCTTTCGGATGACAGCATACGATTGAAATCCGACCTTTGTCCAACGAGTTTTAGGAAGTGAATGTGAAGTGTAGGATATGCATCCAAGAAGTGTATGAGAATTGTTTTAACTTAAAAACATATACATAAGCGAGTACATTCCCAAATAAATGTATTCATACATGCAAGGAGTGTCCAAGGAGTTTGGGTACGGACGAGGGTACAGGTACTTGTTGAGTACAGGTTCGGCTTCAGTTAGGAGTACTCAGGCAATACAGGGAAGTAGCCTACCTATAATACTAGCTGGTGAGCAAAGAGAATTACCAAGTTTTGCAAGAGAATGAGCTCATATAACAGGAAAACAACCTCTAAGTTCTCCTTTAAACAAAAGGAGCTACAGAATCTAACTTAAAAAGAATCAGATCATTCTAACTATTTAAAGTTGAAAAATAGTTGATCACATATGCACCCAATACCTCTGATGATTAGGCCTATTTTATAGAAAAACTGACTTAAAAAGAAACCAGCTACAGAAAAACTCAAAACACCCTAGGATAGCTAGACATATTTACTTCAGCTGAACTAATAAATATAGTGTGAAAGACTCTAGGTGCTCTAAAATAATTATTATATTTTCCTGCTATCTATCAACCATACTTTTTTCTCATATCCAAAGTAGCATGCTTCTTGAAATAAAAGTATGATTTAGGTGTAAAGAAGAAAAGCCACCTGCATTTTATATGACATCAAGGAAAAAATTAGAAGATACTCTGTGTTTATCTATTAACAGTATACCTGTGGCGCATGTTCTAGCAATTCCAAGAATGGACACAATGTCAATTCATATAGTATCTTTGTGAAAACATCCATGCACAATACAAGCTGTGTATTCTCTATTATCAGATAATTAAAAGGAAATTTCACAACAAAATCAAACAGCAATATACATGACCGAACCAAATATAAAAAGATACAGCACACAAGTAGGAGATATTCAGAAAATTAAAGCTTGAATTAATCTGGAAAAAAAAAATAGAATCGTGCAGTAAAGCTGACTTAGGCTGTATACAGAGTTTATATAGCTTTCACCTGGAGATCATACTGGAACAGGTGCAGTAAAGCTGACTTAGGCTGTATACAGAGTTTATATAGCTTTCACCTGGAGATCATACTGGAACACTGTATAAAATGAAGAATCATGAAGTATACAGAGTTTATATAGCTTTCACCTGGAGATCATACTGGAACACTGTATAAAATGAAGAATCATGAACGAGGAGTTGTAATCAAACTGGTCAATAACATGAATACAACATAACAAAGTTGACCACCCTACCTGAATATTATTGCATTTGACTCTGATGCCCGTTTCCAGTCAACGTATATTGGAAGTGTTAATAGATAGTCACTGTTTAATGCATATGTCAACATCAAATCCTGGGCTGATAATTCTTCAAATTGAGCATCGGACAGAAGTTTCATAAATGATTGCTGAAAATCAGGGGGCATAGCAGCTCTACATGTGATAGCCCATTGTTAGATGTCAGTAATAACATACAAGTTTATCAACCTAAATGATAACAGAAACCTTGTATGTTCGTATATAATTACTCATTGCCCAAGTGTATTAAGAAAATAAATGCAATGACGAAAATATATCAAGATTAGAATGCATTCCATTGTTTATTCTGGCAATATTTAAAAGATAAGATTGAATAAAGAAATAAAGTGGCAACCAGTGGCATAAAAGGAAGAAAGTGACTGATCTTTATTCATACCTGGAGGCTGGAGTGATTTTAGAGGAATATGAGTTAGTGTTAAACATGAAAATCATTCAACATGAGGTCAATTTTGTTACATAAAGTAACTCATTGTTTGTGAGGCAACATGTGAGTATTACAATCACATTAACCACTCACAAAGATCACTTACAAGCCACATGATCTTGAGAGAGAAGTCTTGAATAAGGATATAGTTTCAGAAGTAGGGCTCATTAAAGTACATATCATTTCAGTAAACATTGATTCCCCAAGATCCCTTAACTTTCTTGGCACTTTGAGGTTGAAGAACAAGGCAAAATAATGATATAGACATTAGTACAATGGCTATGGGGTCTCATGCGCAGTAAGTACCATGCTCAAATAAGTTATATTTAACCATGAGAACGCAACCACAGAAAGCAAAGCACTAAAAAAATGATCTATTTCTGCTTTTCGAGATTGTTCTATTGAGTATTAGCGAAAATGAAAGCATGAATTTTCAAGAAGTAACAAATGTGCTTGAAAGAACAATCCTAAAAGTAAAGAAACAGGTGCATGATAGGAGCGTCTAAGAAAGTAGAAGCAGTTCTGGACATGCTTTCTTATTCGGCTAAATATCATAAAACCGCCCTTAACTTAGGATGATTATCAAAACACCTCCTTAACTTTCAAAATATCAGAAAACCTCCCTTAAGTTTAGGGGTTATCAGAAAACCCCTCTTTAACTTTGACATTTTATCAAAAAGACGGGTTTTCTGATAAAATCTCAAAGTTAAAGGGGGTTTTCTGATAAAATCTGAAAGTTAAAGTGGGTTTTCCCTATACCTAAGGGGGATTTTCTGAAAGGGTTTGTGGTAATCCCTATACTTAAGGTGGGTTTTCTGATATTTTGAAAGTTAAGGGGGGTTTTCCGATAATCATCCAAAGTTAAGGGGGTTTCTGATATTTACTCCTTATTCACTATGAGTTCTTCTTTGGCAATCTGAAGAATACTTCCAGCCAATCCTGGTGAAGATTCTTATTAAATGTATGACTTGAATTTCTATGAAGCACCAATGAAATATCTGCTCAGACATTAAATCATGTATCTAGTCAACTCCAGTATAAAATTCATAAGTCCTGTCTTCCAGAAAGAGAGAACTCCTAAAGAGGCGCAGAACATCAATAACTGGACAATATTGCGACAATCATCAGCAAAGATAAATTTATCACAAACACTTAAAAGACATGAGAACGCTTTAAAGACATATAAGAACCTCGCCTAAACATGGCAGTATGAGAGCTAAAATAAATGGTATTAGCATTTTGATAAACAATTGAAAATATATTACTTTAAATACTGTCTACTATCTCTCTAAGGTAATGGAGGATATGGACAAGCACCTAAACTCCATTTTTCCTCTGAGGTCTTTTGTCATGGCTCATGCTGCTAGCAAAGAAGAAACTGAGCAAACTGTTTATAATTAATAAAAAGCTTGACGTGCACAAGCGAACTGCATGATGGACTTAATAAATAGCAATGACCATCTTTCCCACAGGAAAGACCAATCTCAGAGGTCAGTTTACGGGCTATGACATCACTTGATTCTTCCCTGTAATTTTTTATTTTTTAGCGATGTAAGAAACTCAGGAAAAATTGATAACTATGTTAATTTTTCTAAGAACTATGGGTCCTCTACAAAGGCTCAAACCATATTGCTACTTGCTAAATAAATATGGAAAAGAGCAATGTGTACAGGTGCATGTAAAACATAACGAATTATGGAAAATAAAAGGCCCTTTATATCAATATAGTGAGTAGAATTTGCGCTCCCTGGAGTTGGACAGGGTTTGTATTCAGTTCTCCATGGCCTCAGGAATGATTTAGGTCAATGAAACTCAAGTTGAATTTAAAATGGGCTGACAATTTTAAAACAACCCCAAAACTGAATTTGATTTTGTACCTATCTATGGATGTGCGTACATGTGCATGTGTTGGTGGCCATAGTGTAACTCTTACCAGTAAAAGTAACCAACCTTGATTCGACTACAGGACTTGAAGAGGTTCTACGTGTAAATGATCGAACCAGCTTTATCAGATCCAAGCTACTATTAAAGTACTGAGACTTGTCGTCTTGCCCCTTTCTGGTATTGTTTATTCCTATAGAATCTGATGGTAAAGGTTCATGTTCCATGGCTAATTGTTGCTCCATAGATATAGCTTCCTCCAGTCTGACAGAGGCATTGGTTGCCTCACTGGATTGGGGAAGCAAATAATACATTCTCATCTTCTCCAGGATACCTTTATGTTCAGCATGAAGAATCGAGTCCAAACACCTGCAATGAAATAATTCATCACAAACATTTCCTTCAATTCTATTACATTATTCATTCTATTACATTATTCACAACAATAGTACTAGGAACAAATCCAAATCAAGATGGCTATAATACTATGAATGGTGAAGAAAGCAAAAGCTTCACACTGTTATTTTAAGAGCACATCGATGGATGAAGAGACAGTCATTTCCTGAAAATTTGCACATGCAAAGAAATTAAGGGAACCAATATAGTAACATTATAGAGATAAGTGGTTAAAGGAGGGTATTAACTGTAAAGTCAAAACCTAAAGAAGCCTCTGTATGTGAAAACCAGTGATGCATGTAATACACTCGGAAAAAAATGTCCTGGTAACTACAACTCAGCAAGGTACTTAATATACTAGTAGAAAAAATTAAAAAAATAATTAACCACTAAAATCCTGTATGTAGGGTATCCTTAGCAACGTCAGACTAAGCTGAACACATGAAAAGAACTTCACCCCTTATACCAGAAGAATGTGAGACGGACATGATTTATTTTCAAAAGCAATAATGCAGAGCGAAATACCTGCAACAGGATAGTAAAAAAAGGAAGATAACCTCATGCCTGGAAATATATGGAAATGTTGTTATCGTACCATAATAAAAACTCAACAGTAAAAAAGAAAGTTTGTGAACATATAAAATATCGGCCGATAAATCGATGTCTCGGGTTCTACAACAGCCCGCACTCTTCCTCTCTCTTTAGTTTTAATATATAATTAATATATATATATATATATATATATATATATATATATATATACTATATATATATATTATATATATATATATATTATATAATATATAAGTCATGCGCTTGAAAGTTCTGTTGAATATTAGTATTATTAGTGACTTATTTGTAGTTTTGTCGGGCGTTATAAAGCCCAAGAGATCATCATAATGAATTAGGGTTTTCACATTCTATATGCTATCAGAGCCCAAAACCCTAGCCGGAGCGCCGCCCCCCCTCTTCAACGCTTGCGCCTCCCTCCCCTCCTAACGGCTGCCCCCCCTCCTCCATGGAGACGCGCACACACGACAAGTCAGCCTCACATCGACCACATCGACACGAACAAATGATAAATAGCCCCGACGAACCTTGTCTCTGCCGTCCCCTGAATCCTCGACGAAACGCACTGAACCCGACGTGAAGCCAGGCCTCCTGATTCCCGCTGACCGATGCCCTGACCACAACCCGTTGACTCTCCCAAGACGACGCCTCCTTCCACTGTCCGAGACAACCACCTGTCAAGACGACCAGACAAACCCTGATCCCAAAAACAGCGACCAAAAACAGGCCCTGCATAAATAGCCGAAACCACTCCCACCCTGTCTGTTTTTACCGATCCTAACCCCCCCCCAGACCTTTCCAGACCGACCCTCCTCCCCTCTGTTTTTTTTCCGATCCACCCCCACCCCAGAACCTGAATCCCTCCCCCTGCTTTTTCCGCATCCTAAACCCCCCCCCCCCGATCCCGAACCCCCGCCGCAATACTTTGACGCGCCGCTTGGCTGGCCTAATGCCGGACCTCGGTTTGGCATGGATCCCTCGACTCAGTTCCTCGAACTGATGACAGGAAAGTATATACCTCCATCGTGAGATATATAACTGGTTTTGATTCTATTTCCTTCCTGAGCAACGAATTTTGTTGGAGCCATCTTACTCTTGTTCGTGCAGCAGAAGTGCTGCCGAATTTTCAACTGCTCACCACCCGAGTTTGAAGAAAAGGTGAACAGGTGTTTGGATGCTGAAGCTTGATCGATGGAGGGAATCTCAAGAAGTTGAACCTGCGGAGGTATCAACTTTGTGAAAGTTGATAAGTTGTCGGCTGGTTGGAGTGCCGCGACAACCATCAATGAAGTTGGAGTTCCGAATCGATCTGAAGCTTGATGGACGCGAGTACGTACTGAGCTGGTCGCGACGGGTGAGATAGCCCCTTGTCAGGGTAGGAACGCTGGGAGGGTTACTGTACAGGAGAGCGACAGAACGCGGAGGAGGACTCGGGGGAAGAGACTGAGTGGAAAGACCACTCATATGTTTGGTGTACATCTGGGCTCTTCATAACTCGTTGGTCCCAACGATCGCCGCCATAGATGGCATTGAGAAGGTGAAGGACGTCTGGGAGAAGTTGAGGGAGACGTATGACTGGAGTGCGGGAATAACCTGCGGTATTCCAGATTAAAGGAGAAGATCGACGCCACACGTCCAGGGAAGAAGGACTGTACAGGAATATGCTACAGAGTTGGAACGCTGTGGCTGATTATGAGCATTTCTCTCCTCCGGCTACTGCATGGGTACCACCGGATGTAAAAGAGCCGGGAGGCCTTTCTACAAGAAAGAGGACTATGGTGTTTCTTAAACGGATTGACTCAGAGTTTCGCTCAGCGCGATCGCATTGCTGCTAGCTCAGCCGAAGATTCCACAGGCTTGAGAAGCGCTATCTCTTCTATGATCCAAGGAGGAGACTCGCATTCGCTGGGGCAGGCGGGCGAGCATGATGGACTTCCTGCTGGTGAAGTCAGATGGCCAGCCTTAGCAACACCCGCTGGGGGTCGCGGAGGTGGAAAGAGTGAGCAGGAATCGGCAATCGACAGTATGAGCAGAAGAGAAGAAGCTGAGGTGGTCCTTTACGAGAGGATCGTGCTCTCTCACGATACTCAGAAAAAAAGAAAAAAAAAAAAAAAAAAAAAAAATAATCAGTAAGTAGCAGGGGATGGAGATTTGTAGGAATGGACTGCGGAGGTATCTACTTCGTCTTCGTCCCGGGCACACGCTTGAGGAGGCTATCTCTGCTATGATCCAGGAGGAGACTCGCATTCGGCTGCAGGCGGGGACAGGTGGACTTCCTGTGGTGAAGTCAGCACTGGCAGCCTCTAGCAGCACTGGATCTAGGGGAGAGACCCGACAGTGCTATAACTGCGGTGCGGTGGGTCATCTACGGCATGCTTGCACCAAGCCATCCAAGGATGGAGATTCGGGTGGACGTGGACAGTTCGGAGGTCGTGGTCGTGGCCGTGGGGGTCGACGAGGTGGAAGAGGAGCAGGAAACCGGGCAAATCTGACTGTAGCAGAGGAAGAGGAAGCTGAGGTGGTCTTTACTGAGGAGGATCGTGCTCTCCTGGCGATACTAAGGAAGAAGCAACAAGTAGCAGGGGATGGAACTGAGGAGGCATCCACTTCATTCTTTGCCAGAGGTAATACTGCTACCTATGCTCATCCGAACAAAGGTACTGATGACATACATGCTCTTGCTTCTATATCTCCTGATAGATCATCAGAGTGGATAGTCGACTCCGGTGCATCTCGCCATGTGACAGGTAATGCTAGTGAGTTCTCATCATATACTCACTTAGCATCGCCTGATAGTATTCAAACAGCTGATGGTATATTTCAGCCGGTGGTTGGTAAGGGTACAATCGATTGTACTGGTTCTGTAACTTTGTCCAATGTTTTGCATGCTCCTTCTTTTCCAGTCAATCTTTTGTCCATTAGTTCTATCATCCTCCAACTAAAATGCATTGTTTCTTTTGATATTCCCAAGGTAATTTTCCAGGAGAAGGGGACAGGACGGAGACTTGGGACTGGTACATGGCGTAGTGGACTGTGGTATCTGGATCGTGAAGGGCTGGATTCAGCATTGGTGTCAGTCATAGAGGAAGCAAGAGTAGGATCTAAAATGAGTGCTGAAAATGAGTTAATGCTCCATCACCAGCGTTTGGGACACTCATCCTTTAGTGTTTTAGGTAGATTGTATCCTTCTTTATTTGAGAAAGCAAATAAACAAAAACTTGTGTGTGATGCATGTGAGTTTGGAAAGCTTACTAGAAGCTCTTATGTTAGTTCTGGTCATAGAAGTTCTCATGCATTTGACTTGGTACATTCAGATGTTTGGGGGCCTTGTTCCACAAGTTCTATGAATGGATACAAGTATTTGTAGACGGTAAAAAATACCTCTATGGGTCTACAGGGAATTTGTCTACGAGAAGAGTTCGCACGCCCAGTTCTCTGACACGGACCTAAACCGCGTAGACGTCGACTGTGCTCAAATCCAGGTTCGCCTAACGGTCGACTCGCCAGCATGAGTCAGGAGCGATCAGGATGGCGGAAATTTGCTCTTCGCTCAACTCGCCTGCCCGAGTTCGGAGTCGAATCCGCCAGCAAGCCCCAAAACCGTCAGTACAGCTGGGTATCCACTACCCCACGCGTGTGAGACATTAAAGGGAGATAATGGTGGGATTCTTCCACTTAAAGTGTTCGGCTGTGTGTGCTTTGTGAAGGACAACAGGCCATCTGTCGGGAAGCTTGCCCCTAGAGCTGTAAAGTGCATCTTTGTGGGATATTCTGCTACTCAGAAGGGATATGTTTGCTGGAGCCCGGTGGAAAAAAGGTTGTTTGTGAGCATGGATGTGCACTTTCGAGAACTCGAGCCATATTACACTCAGAAGATAACTTCATCTGCTGGTAACTCGCCCAATACTAGAAGTATGGGGCGAGAGGAGGAGAATGGTGAGAGACAGGAGAACAATGTGGAGAAATCCATTTCTGTAACGATTCCTTGGGAGGAAGATTTGGTTGAGGAGGAGTTGGTTGAGGAGGAGCAGGAGAATCAAGAAGAAAAGGAAAATGAGACAAGAGGTGTTAGGCCCACTGTTCAGAGGGAGCTACTAACCTATAGTAGGAAGGGCAAACAAATTGCAGGAACAGTACCTACAGTGCCACTAGTGCTGCCAAGTCTCTTGCCAACGCCTACCCCGACTCCTGAAATTCCTACACCACCACTATTTTATCCCAAGGTGATAACATTCCTACTGATAACATTCCTCTCCCTACTCCTCCCACACCAATATCAATACGGAGGACTACTCGCAGTAATGCGGGACATCCTTCCGATAGATATGGTTGGGATCTTGCCCAGTATGTATCATATTCTAGTATCCACCCTGCATATGGAGCATTCATTGCATCATTGGACTCTGTTACTGTACCTAACAATTGGCAGGTTGCTAAGAAGGACCCAAAATGAAAAGCGGCTATGCACGAGGAGCTAGGAGCTCTAGAGAAGAACCGCACTTGTAAGAAGGACCCAAAATGAAAAGCGGCTATGCACGAGGAGCTAGGAGCTCTAGAGAAGAACCGCACTTGAGAGCTAGTAAAGTTACCAGAAAGAAAGAGAGCAGTTGGATGCAAGTGGGTCTTCACTGTGAAGCAGAATCCAGATGGACAAGTTGAGCGCTACAAGGCCCGTCTGGTGGCAAAAGGGTATAGTCAGACATATGGCATAGATTATGATGAGACTTTTGCACCGGTGGCGAAGATGAGCACTGTTCGGACCTTAATCTCCCTGACAGTGAATGGTGGATGGAAGCTACACCAACTAGATGTGAAGAATGCATTTCTTCATGGAGATCTAGTGGAGGAGGTATACATGGAGATAACACCAGGATTCGATACAGATCAGACAGTGGGAAAGCGGAAGGGATCATCCTATCCCAGAGAAAGTATGCACTGGATCTTCTCAAAGAGACAGGAATGTTAGGGTGCAAACCTGCAACTACACCGATCGACCAGAGGTTCAAGCTAGGTGCTGAGGCTGGAGAACCAGTTGATCGTGACAGATATCAGAGGTTGGTGGGAAGGCTGATCTATTTGAGTCACACACGTCCTGATATCTCCTTTGCAGTAAGCGTGGTGAGTCGCTACATGCACGATCCGAGGAAGGGTCATATGGACGCTGTGTACCAGATTCTGAGATATTTAAAGAGTGCCCCCGGAAAGGGGCTGATATTCAGAAAGAATGGACATGTGAACATCGAGGGTTATTGCGACTCTGACTGGGCTAGCTGTGCTGATGACAGGAGGTCCACCTCAGGATACTGCATCTTTATAGGAGGTAACTTAGTCTCGTGGAAGAGCAAGAAGCAGTCAGTGGTGGCGAGATCGACAGCTGAGGCAGAGTATAGAGCTATGGCCTTAGGAATTGCTGAGTTGCTATGGTTGAAGAGTATGCTGGTGGAGCTGAAGCTGGATCAAGGAGCTAAGATGAAGTTATGGTGTGACAACAAATCAGCTATCAGTATTGCCAACAACCCAGTGCAGCATGATAGAACCAAACACATCGAGATCGATAGGTTCTTCATCAAAGAGAAGTTGATAGTGGACTACTGGAGCTAAGTCATGTTTCGACTAAGGACCAGACAGCAGATTGTCTGACTAAAGGACTCAGCTCAGTAGATATGATTAGAGGATGTGACAAGATGGGCTTAATAGATATCTTTCGCCCATCTTGAGGAGGAGTGTTGACATATTAGTATTATTAGGGACTTATTTGTAAGTTTTGTAGGGGCCTATATAAAGCCCAAGAGATTTCATAATAAATTAGGGTTTTCACATTCTATAGTTTCATTATGCAACCGAGAAGCAATTTTTTACAATCTGTTCTCTCTTCTTTACCGTCTCTACCCTCTCTCTCAGTCTATCTCTCCTCCTCTCTCTCTCTTCTTCTACATCTCTCTCTAACTGCCCCCTCCCCCCATATATATGTGTGTGTCTTTGGAAGTTATGCACTTGGAAGGTTTCATTATGCAATCGAGAAGCAAGTTTCTACAATCTAGGGGTAAGCAAACAGTCGGCGCGGTTTAATCATCTTGGAGAAAAACGAACCGAATTGAAGCTACAGACGAAACCAAACCGAACCGTGGTTTGTTCGGTCGGTTCTTTTGGGTGCAATAGCCTCCATCACCAAGTAGTAAAAGGCAATCACAATGATTAAAACCCAGAAAATTGAGTCTCTCACTATGAACGAATATAATAGATGGAAAAAATCAAAGAATAAAAGACAGCAAGAGGATTAAATTTGACATGGTGAATGAGTTTTTAAGTGGGTTACCCAAGAGAGGAGGAGAGAGCCATGACTTTTTTTGTGTATAGCAGGTCCTCTCTTTATTCTTGGGTGATGAGTCGTAGTCCGCTAACATTAAGTTAGGAATTAGAATCATCAAGTGGGTGGGTCCCGCTAGGGAAAATCTGAGAAATAAAGGTATCGGTTATTCATACTAGAGAGTTTTAAGTGGAGTCGGTTAGTTCGGTTAAAGTGGGTGAATAATTTCCAACCTAACCCAAACCAAATAAAATACAAAACCAAACCAAACTGTAAAAAATCAGACGATTCGGTTAGTTATATTAAATTAGGCTAAATTTTGGTCAGCCCCACTACAATTTGTAAGCTATCCTAAACATATATCATGATGTAATTTCTAATGTTTAGAAATAATTAAATATATTTAGATTACATATTGGAACGTTATATTATGTATGAACATCTTCCAATATGACACTGCAATATTTACTGCACAATCCCAATATATGCCCAATTTCCACAATCTGATATGGATGCTGGCTATTCAATATTTATCTGATATCCGATATTTTAAGACAATAGTGTTTGTGCATATGTGTACGTAAGATACATACATATATATTGATAAGATATGAGAATATTTCTTCTTTGATCTCAATAATAACAAGGTGTGAGATTCTATTTAAAAATGCAGGTGGTTACATAGGATAATCTCTACTAGTAGTACAAGATAAGATAACCGCAAGGTGGTTGTACCAGATAAGAACAAATGTAGGTAACATTACCTCTCAAATTCACACTGGATCAAAACTAAGTATTTGAATTGAAATAGAAACGGATGTTGCCTGTCGAAAACGGATGTTGCCTGTCGAAAACGGAGTGGAGAGAAATGGATAGATCTGATTTAATAATCAATTAGATGGATCCAATCTACATTAAAATGGATGGGATATACAGCATACGTATAAACATACACATAAGCATACACATACACATCTAGATGTAGATGTATAGAAATGATGGGGTATGAGGTGGTTGCTCATTTTGCTAAATAAGCTACCAAGAGATGAACATTTGGAGCCCACCCTGCTAACTAGTCACATCGAATGTGCCTCACTGTTCTTTGTCTCCTGATAGCTCATTTAAACAAGGTATAAGCTCATAACCATCAAAATGTACACACACGCGCGCGCGCACACACACACAGAGAGAGAGGGGATCTTATGGGTAAGTTCTGCTTAACTGACCATAATAACTAATAATTACCTCCATGGTTTGCAAGTGATAATACAAGCTATAAATAGTTACGTATCATAACTTGCTATTTGAAATCCTGCAGGTGAACTCCTGTGCGTTAGAGTCAATACGTAACCTGCTATTTGAAGGTCAAATTTCCAACTTAACCATTTTCTCCTAGTTCTAAATGTAAGAACACGCTGAAACCTTTAAATCGCTATTTGATGCACCTGGATTCTCCTAGTTCTAAACGTAAGAACACACTGAAAACTTTCAATCGCTATTTGATGCACCTGGATTTGACAACATCAGAAGTGGGTCAGTTAACATGATCTACATTGTGCTAATACCTAATACCTTAATTAAGAGAACATTTGTCTCTAATGTGAAATCGAGGCATGAAAACATAGATACCTCATGGATACTAGCCTATTTTCTTGGCAGAAAAATTATAATGCATCCAAACATCTTAAAAATTGTGGTAAAGATTATAAGACCTAAGAAATAGGATGTTCACAATGCCTGACTTGCAAATGGGTTTATAACTTGGCCAACTTGCTTTCTAGTTTGACCTCATAACGCATGATATCCATATAAGGATAGAGTTTCATTTCACCGCTCTCTTACCCCATTTGAATGTCTATCCCAATATCATATCCCCTCATCAAGATATCATATGTACTAAATATACTAAGAAAAACCCCTATTTTGGTCATTGTGAGCCACATTTGTGGAATTCCAAAAGTGCCCTTGCATCTGTATAAACTAACGTGGAATGTCCTTGCACTTAAAAAATCAGCAAAAATGCACTGACATTTGACAAAATCAAAGAGAAATTACTCACACTTAGAAAAAACCAAAAAAATGCCCTTAAACTTGGAAATTTCCAAAAAAAAAAAACTAACTAAAGAAAGTGCAGTCAAAATCATATATATCCGTTGCCATAACAATTCGATTACAACGCTCCACCACATTTTGTGTGCCGCACGCATCGCGTGTACCAAGGTACTGGTCTTTTTTTTTATCCCTTATATCAAGCGCCTTTACCTTATTTACTTCAAGTTTCCAACCTTAGAATCTTATGCTTAATCTGTTAACCTAACAATAGATTAGCAAATAACAAAGTAACTCACACAACAAGACCCAATTTTTCACAAACTCACACAGAGAGGCGAGCAAACTCATCAGCATCCTCCTTGGAATCGAACAACTCGAGAATCTCATTGAGGAGTTCCGCCTTGGGAACAGAGATGTACTTCTGCCTCGGCACGTGAATCCCGTTGATCGCCTTCTCCTCGTCGCCATGGATCTCTTCTTGCTTCTCTTTCTCAAAGGCAGAGTCTTTGTCGTTCTGTAAGAAGTTATCGGTGCTGAACTGATATTTTACTGGGCCGATGTGTAATAACGTCGGCGATTTTGGAGGAGACGAGAAGAAGGATAAGGCATTGGAACGGGGAGGAGAGAGAAATTGAGGGCGGTGAAGGTCTTTAGGGAAAATATTTCGTGGATTGAGGGGTTTTAGGGAAAACATCACGAATGGAGGAAGCCAGAACGTGGTAGGGGCGAGGAAGAGGAGTGCAAGTTATGAGGCGGCAACGGCGAACCAACGGCTATGGTCGTTTCTTAACCTATCCATTGCTTATTTTATTTATTTATTTATTTATTACTTTTATTATTATTATTATTATTATTATTATTATTATTATTATTATTATTATTAAGGAAAATTGTGTTGAGACCCCAAAATTAGAAACTTCATGTGACGAGACTCTTTGTATTCTATCCCATGTTGATAAGCCTCAAATACACAGAATTTGTGGCAAGGCCTCAAAGTATCGGATTTCAAAAAAAACCAAATGAAAGTTACGAACTTGCCCATTTGATGGGACTGAACTCAGTTACTTCTCCTCCCTATTTATTCCCAATTTCTTCATCATTATTCATGTCTCTCTCTCTCTCTCTCTCACCCCTCTATCTCTCAACTTCTCATTCTCTCTCACTTCCGCCATGGCCACTGAAAATGATCAGGCTCTGGGGAGGCCGTGGAAGGCGAAGGCCAGGACGGTGGTCATGGAGTCGGAGATCAGGGACGTGATCAAGCCCGAGGGCTGGGCCATCTGGGACGGGGCCGACTTCCACCAGACCTGCTACTACACTGAGTACAACAACAGGGGGCCCAACGGTAACCTCATGCCCGAGGCTGAGTGGGTCAAAAAGCACGAGCTCATCAACAAGGAGGCATCCCTCTTCCTGATCGAGAACTGGCTGGGGGACGTCACCTGGCCGAGGGACGTCGGGGCCAAGTTTATCGACGGCTTTGTCAAAAGCTAGTTAGTTTAATCAAATCGCTAGCTAGGTTGTTAATTAAAAGCTCGATTGGCTTGGACCTGTCGTGCATCAAGCACGTTGGGTTTTTATTTGTTATCTTGAATTTTTATTAATTGTTTTGTCATGGAAATTTTTTTAAAACATTTTATTTGTAATTGTTTCCGAAAATTATAAATGAAAAGTGAGGTGAATTGCTCTCCTCTTTTATCGTTGTTATTGCTATTTTATTATCAGATCTTTCTTTATTTTGTTATGGACGTGGTCGAAGCGCCGACTGGGACTAAGATCGCAAGACAACAATATCAAACAATAATAGAAAAGAATTATGTGTGTTAGTTCTACTTCCAGCTAGTGTTATTTCTAATATAAGTTTTAGATCTAGTGGTATGTTAGTTCTAGGGGCTCTCGTGTTAGTTCTAGCTGATGTCATGTTAGTTTTACTTAGTGTTATTTCTAATATAAGCTTTAGTTCTAGTGATATGTTAGTTCTAGTTAAGCTCATGTTAGTTCTAGTGGTTATCGTGTTAGCTCTATCTGATTTCATGTTAGTTCTACTTCCAGCTAGTGTTATTTCTAATATAAGCGTTAGTTCTAGTGATATGTTAGCTCTAGTTGAGCCCATGTTAGTTTTAGCAGTTCTCGTGTTAGTTATATCTGATTTCATGTTATTTCTACTTCCAGCTAGTGTTATTTTTAATATAGACGTTAGTTCTAGTGGTATGTTAGTTCTAGTTGATCCCATGTTAGTTCTAACGGTTCTCGTGTTAGTTCTAGCTGATTTTATGTTAGTTCTACTTCCAGCTAGTGTTATTTCTAATATAAGCGTTAGTTCTAGTG